CTGAGCCACCCAGGTGCCCCTCAAGTGACTTGAAAACACTAGATTAGGGTTTCTCAACCTCAGCACCACTGACATTTTGGGCCAGACAATACTTTGTTATGGGGGGGGGGGGCATGTCCTGTGCATGCAGCATGTCAGCAGCACCCACGGCTCAAGCAGGCAACACTCTGCCTGGACTGTCACGCATCATTGCTGGGAGAACCAAGTGTGTGCAAGTCCACTGGCAGGGAGTTTTTTGTAGGAGAGGACTTGGGAGGCCAGAAGGAGCCCTTCCTTCTTACGGAGAAGCAAGCACCAAGGTTGGTCAGGAGGCGTTACTGTAAAGGAGGAGGGATGGGACAGAAGGGTCGGCAGACTTGGGATGGGTTGGTTTGACTCATTTCTGTGGTCTCTGAGGCACAAGGGCTGTCCCTGGTTTTTAGTACCTGGTCTCGGGGTGATGAGGGCAGGTGGAGAGTAGCCCAGAGCACGAGAGCACCATACAGTAGGTGGCTGGGGCATGAGCTCTCGAGTGCGTGGTTTGAACTATCCCTAGGAGTTCGCTAGCCTCCTACGGGCAGTCTCTCCAGGGTAAGCAAGGCCCCAGATGTCAAAGCACCCGGAGCACATGGTTAATGCAAGGAGGACAAGTGGACTCTTGAACCTGTTTTCTCCTGGACTTAGCCTGTATGCCTTTTCTCTTTGCCAACTTTAGTCTGTACCCTTTCACTGAAATAAACAGTAATTACAACAGCTTTGCTGCATTCTGGGAGTATATTCTGTGAACCATCAAACCTGAGGGTGGTCTTGGGGATCCCTGACACAGCTGCTAAAACCATTAGGTGAAAGGACAATAGGGAACTTCATGATGGAATAGAAAGGCTGATGCCACTAAATCCACTGCTCACTGAGTGGGGCAACCAGATGTTCCTCTTCATATTACGCAAAAGAAGTATGCAGAATCAACTAAGAAGTGTTCATGTCAAATCAGCTGAACCTGAATCTGATGAAGCCTCTATGTGGAACTGCAAATCTGGAGGAAATGTGGGGACAGAGGAACCTGTTAAACAGCACTGGGAGGGAACAGGTAGCCAGACGCAGCATGTGAGCTTTTCCACAGGACAAATGACCCATCTGTCAAACTTAAGAAGGAAGTGAACTGTTACAGATTTAGTGAGACCAAAGACGTATAAATTACGTGCATTGTGTGGAATTTTTTGGGTGGGTTCTAATTTGAACCAATCAGTAGCCAAAAGACATTTTTGAAACAACAGGGGAAAAGCAAACACAGAATACATATTAGATACTAAGGAACTCCTGTTCATTTTATTGGATGAAATACAATGGTTAGTACTGGCTTTAGAAAGCTCCAAGAAGGGGGGCTCCTGGGTGGCTCAGTTGATTGAGCATCTGCCTTTGGCTTAGGTCATGATTCCAGGGTCCTGGGATGGAGCCTCGGGTTGGGCTTCCTGTTCAGTGGGGACTCTGCTTCTCTCCCTCTGCCCCTCTGCCCTGCTTGTTCACATACACTATCTCACATAAATAAATACAATCTTTAAAGAAAAGAAAAGAAAGCTCCAAGAAAGCCCCAGGAGAGGGGCAGGGGAGAATAGATTAGGTAACAGCAGCATAAGGCCGGTGGCTGTTAAGTCCTGGGGATGTGTACGTGGGGGTCTGCTGCATTGTTCTATTTTTTGTATCCATTTAAAGTTTTCTACATGTTTTAAAAGGGTTAGAAAAAAAATGAACTTAAAAATCAGAAACAGTTATCAAATATGGGTTAAATATGGGTTAAGAAACACAAGTAAAAACACATGCTCTAATAAAATGTGTGAAATGTGAGAACCTGCCAGTATTTCAAAATGTAATTTTAAGGCACAGGTGAGATTATAAGGGTTTTATAAGAGATTTAAGGGTTTTATGAAAGACTGAAGTAAAATGTAGGAAGTTGGATGTCTAAGCACCACTTTTAGGTCTTGAGAAAACAGAGCCTGAAATTGCCTTTTGTCTGAAGCCTTCAGGGTTTTCCCAGTTTTTGCTTTGAAGTCTAAATGGAGGGGTGGTTTTTACATTTAGGTGTTTTTTTGTTTGTTTTTTGGTATTGATTTGACGAATTTACCATAAAATTTGGAATAAAAAGATATTACCTCCTTACATTCTCATACAAATCTTTATCCTTTAAATAGCATCTCTTGAGAGAGAGAGAGCTGCATAATCTTCTGTGGACTAAAAAGCTCCTGCTAGTTGTTACCCTAACTGCTAGAATTTGGGGTCAAAGAATCTCCCTGATTAAAGCAGCATATGGGAAGGCCTGGTCTCCAGAGAATGATACTTTTGCCTTTTTTCCTGCTACCTAAAAAGACTTTTTAAAAAAAGATTTTATTTATTTATTCATGAGAAAGACACAGAGAAAGAGAGAGAGAGACAGAGACACAGGCAGAGGGAGAAGCAGTCTCCATGCAGGGAGCCTAACGTGGGACTCAATCCCAGGACTCCAGGATCATGCCCTGGGCTGAAGGCAGACACTCAACTGCTGAGCCATCTGGGCATCCCCTCCTAAAAAGACTTCTTATGTAAAAAAAATCAAGGATAATTTGTTAGGACAAACGTGTATCACTTCTGTCATTTAAAAAAAAAAATTTAAGAACATATGTTCTCACACAAACTGGTACAGGAATGTTCATAATGGCACTATTCACAAAAGCCAAACAGTGGAAACCACCCAAGTGCCCATCAACTTATGACTAGATAAATAAGATGTGGTACATCCATACAACTGAATGTTATTTTTATTTCATAGAAAGGAATATAGTACTGATTTGTGCTGATTCACGCTATAACATCATGAATCTTGAAAACATTATATTCAGTGAAAGAAGCCAGTCACGAAAGACCACATATTATATGATTTCGTTTATGTGAAATGTTCAGAATAGACAAATCTCTAGAGAGAGAAAGGAGACTACCGGCTGCCCTAGGGCTGGGGTTGAGGGACAATAGGGAGTGGCTACAAATGGGTACCATGCTGGGTTGATGTGTCCCCTCCCCACCAAATTTAGAACAAAAAAAATGTTCTAAAATTGATTGTGGTGAAGTTGTACAACTCTGTGGATATACTAAAAGCCACTAAGTTGTATACTTTAGGTGGGTAAATTTTGTGGAATGTAAATTATATTCCAATAAAGCTGTTATTAAAAAAAAAAATTTAAAGCTACACAAAAATGACGAAGTGCCTGGCTGGCTTAGTTAGTGGAGCATGTGACTCTTGATCTCGGGTGGTTAAGTTCGAGCCACATGCTGGGTGCAGAGAGTACTTAAAATTTTAGGGATCCCTGGGTGGTGCAGTGGTTTGGCGCCTGCCTTTGGCCCAGGGCGCGATCCTGGAGACCCGGGATCGAATCCCACGTTGGGCTCCTTGTGCATGGAGCCTGCTTCTCCCTCTGCCTGTGTCTCTGCCTCTCTCTCTCTCTCTGTGTGACAAAATAAAATAAAAAAATAAAAAAAATAAAAAAATAAAAAAATAAAAAAATAAAATAAAATAAAATAAAATAAAATAAAATAAAATAAAATAAAATAAAATAAAATAAAATAAAATAAAAATAAAATAAAATAAAATAAAATAAAATAAAATAAAATAAAATAAAATAAAATAAAATTTTAAGGGCGCCTGAGTGGTTCAGGTGGTTAAGCGTCTGCCTCTGGCTCAGGTCATGGTCTCAGGATTAAGTCTGGAATCAAGCTCTCTGCTCAGCAGGGACTCTGCTTCTCCTTTTCCCTCTGCCCCTGCTCTCTCTCTTGCTCTAATAAATAAATAAAATCGTTAAAAAAAAAATCTTAAGGAGGGGCATTGGGGGATGGGCATTAAGGAGAGCATGTGATGTAATGAGCATTGGGTGTTATATGCAACTGCTGAATCGCTAAATTCTACCTCTGAAACGAGTAGTACAGTATATGCTAACTACATTGAATTTAAATAAAAAATTAAAAAAAATACAATCTTTAAAAAAAGCTATACAAAAATGCTGAAAAACTTTGAGAAGAACCTGGAATAGTCCCCACATGGAGAACTTCTCTTTCCGTCAATAATTTAAGGTGTGGAGAGGCTGAGAGTTAGACATTCGATGTTGATTGAAACAGGACTGGTTGCTAGGTCTGCTGATTTGCTGTACAGACTTCTGGCCTTTTACACAGAACTCTTTCAGTTGAAAGCCACAGAAAATCTACTCAAACAGGCTCGACCAAAACAATACAAATTTATCTCACATACACGCAGTCCAGGGTGGGCACTGGCATCCAAACAAGGTCACGCGAGTGGATTTCAGTTTCCTTCTTTATTGCCTTCATTCTCAATGTGTGGCGGCAAAGGCAGCCACAGGCAGTCCTATGGTTATGTGGCCCTTACAGTTCCTGGTGCGAGAGGAGAGAGAATCTTCCTTGCTGGCTCTCGCAGTAGTTCCGGGACTCTACAGGGCTGGCTCACAGACTCACAGCCACAGAGCAAGGTTTGCTTCAACCAAGTCCCATGGATAAAGCCGGAAAGGGTGGCTCTCCTGAGGAAGAACAGATGGATATAGAAACCTGTCCACAATGTGAAAGGAAGCTCTAAAACTTGCAGAGATTTGAACATCATCTCAGCCCAATAAATACTTGCCAAATCAATGTAGGAACATGCAAAATAGAGCCACTGCAGAGTACTTTTAAAGCATCATATTCCAAATTCTTATTCCATATTTTAGAGAAGCAGTAACATACAACTTAGGACAGATGCCAAGGTCATCAGCGAGCTGCCATTTTAGCAGAGAGGGATTTCAGTCAAGTATGGATTTTTCCGTGCTCCAGAATCCTGTCGACATTACAAAGAAGAGATATGCTGCTCTGGTAGATGGCAGACTTTGATTTTCCTGACTCAGCCACAAGAAAGGCTAAGGCTTGTCTGGCACAAAGGAATAAACAGTCCAGTCTGGATGCTAGAAACTACTCTGCTACCGGTAAGCTTTCCGTAGTCTGCCCTTCTTATTTAAACTGGTGATAATCTGAAGGGTTTCTGATCCAGGATCCAAAGGCCTGCTTCCGGAGCACACTCCAGGCTTCCTGATAAGCAGATGCGGCCTCCTTGTACTCATGGTACGTCTCAAGCTTCTGTACCCTAATGCACACACATCAGCAAGCACACAGATACTCAATGATCGGCTCAACATGGTGGCCAATTGAGCAGTCAGCTGGACAGCTTTCTAACCAGAGACCTACGGACAGGAGGATTTGGGTATGTTTTCCTATAGCAGCTCTTTCTCTGTCGTAGGAAATTCACTAGAAAGCAGCATGGATGAAAGCAGGTGAGAATGAACAATGCTAGTCTTGCTGGTCCTAGTGAAATCAGATAAAACAAGAATAACTATCTACTTTTGGTTTAAAGTGTTCTGGGAAATGGTTTCCTGCAAAGCAGTCCCTCTCGCTGTAAGACTCAGATAAGACTCATGGATGTGCCCTAGGTCTACCCATGATGGACCCTCCAAACTCCCATTCTCTTCTGTCTCAATGATGAGCTGAACTGTTTGTACCCACATGCCAATATCAACAAAATTCTTGCTTCCTTGACCAGCATTAGTTATGCTTCTGTCCTTCTCCTAGGCCCTGAACTTTGACCCACTGCACCCTGAGCCAGCATCAAAATGTGGGGTGACGCCTTAACAGCCCTCATCCCCAACCCCCGAGAATCCACTGATCTCCAGAAAAGATATTTCCTGTCTGGCTGTCCCATCACACTAACTGCAGATCCCATGCCCTCCTCCTCCTGGTTCTTTCTAGCCTTGCTCACTGCTCCTTCCCGTGGGCCCTAGAGGCTGACGAACTGTTAGGGCTGCGGTGTCCTCGCTTTGGCGCCAATCCTGCTGCTGTGATTCCTTTACTCTCTTACTCTTACTGCCATGATTCCTTTAAATAAAGTCTTCCCTGACCTTGGTTTAGATTTGTTTTCACTGCCATACAAAATCTATGGACCCACCCCCAACCCCCCGCTATCAGTTTGATTCATTCATCTGACAAAAAATGAACAAAGTGACCACAGGACAACATTACTGACTGCAGTGTGCATGGTGGTGCTAACAAGCAGCTGCCTCTTCACATAGATGGTTCTAGTAACGCCTTCACTTCCCCACTGCTGTATGATAAAGACTTTGGCTGGTCTTGTTGCCAGTTCCTGGAAGGGAACCTCCAAACCTTCGTATTTTCCCTGGGGGCAGGAATGTCCTTGTTCTGCACGGTGGACCCCTCTGATCACACCTGAGCTTCCACGCAACGAGGTGGCTTCTGGTGGGCCCTGGATAGATCAGGACAGGGCTGGCCATGCCAGGGAGATTAACCATAGAGCAGAGTGTGGTCTGTTGTCCTCCAGAGGCGGACAACGGGTTCAGTCATGCCACATGGCCAACGGTTCAAGCAGGCTGACATAATAAAACCACAAAGAAAACTCTGGACACTGAAGCTTGGGTCCCCCTTCTGGCTGGGGACACACAGTGGTGTGCTGGGAGGGTGACACATCTTGAGGACACAGACGCATTGTGTTTGGGACCCTCTCAGACCTTGCTCTATGTGTCTCTTCTTTTAGCTGGTCCTGATTTACATTCTTTACAATATAAAGTCATTACTTTCTATTTTCTACTTTACTATACTTTTTTAAGTATAGTGCTTTCCTGAACTTGTGAGTTATCCCGTGAATTTCTGAACCTAAGGAGGCAGCGGGGACCCCTGAATTTGTAGTCAGTGGTCAGAAGTGTGGGTGGCTTGCGTCTGGTGCGTATGAAGTGATGGCACTAACCACAGGTAGTTAATGTCTGAACTGCCCTCGCCCACCTGCCCCTGGAGCAGTTTTATAGCTCTCTGCATTCCTATTTGGGAGCAATTTCAATCCTTAGGCTGCAGCTCACAACCACTAATGTGAACAAAAGAGAGAAGAGAGTGGCATTCCTAACAGACTCTACTGCTCCCCAAACACTCACATATGTCTGCCTTGCTCTCCATTCAGAGGGTGGTGAAAGAAGAGCCTGGAACAGGCCAAGCCCTGATTCCCCTCCAGTCTTCTGTAACTTTGCACCACTAACCCACCCATCGTGCACACTTCGGATCTGAGTTTGCAATCAGGACCCTGGGGAGAGAGGAGCGCACGAGCGGTAATGAAGTGCTCACAGACTCCTGCCAAAGCTTCCTGACATTTGTAAGCCAGAATTAAACCACAAATCTTCCTAATTATGAAAAAAAACATGGGTCAACAGCATCACCTGAGGGAGTCTGGCCACTTGTCCTCTGAAATACTGCTTAGCAGTTTCTGAAATGATCTAAAGAGTTCCACTTTGCTGATTCGGGATCTGTTTGGAAAAAGAAGACGAAGAAGATTTATTTTGTGTTTAACACGTGGCAGCCCCTATGAGAGACACTGGCTTCGCACAGTAGCTTTCTTAGGTTTGAAAGCACAGAGCTCCCCTATTTTCACCTGTTCTTCACGTGAAGAACACCAAGGCCTGAATTGGGGTGAGGAAAAAAATGAACCTCATCTTAAGAAGTGTCATCAGCAGTTAAATCATCAAGGTGACAGGCTCAAATGGGGTCAAGATAGAGGTGGGAATACTGAACTCCCGGAGTACCTCTTCTCAAGGCAGCTGGCCCTGTGGGTAGTACTGCTTACAAAACACTGAAACAGTTTCAGACTTGAGTGTCACTCCCTGTGTGAACTACGCTCATAAAGTCCACTTGGATAAGCACGGGACAGTCCCATGGGCACTTTAGGTCCCTAAGGCCAATCCTTTGCTTCTAACATGAAGCTTTGTACACGCCATCGTTTGGAACAGTGAAGGACATGAGTGTCTTGCAAGCCCACGTGGGCCTCTCCAGTTTTGCCCATCCATGCTGCTAGGATGTGAACTGCATGTGCCTCCTTCCTTCCTTCCCATACACCATGCATGAGCCAATTCAGAAAAGGGAAGTGTGTGCGCCAACAAAGTACAGTCTTATCTTTACACACCACAGCCTTCCCCATCCTCACAGACTGTACCATCAGCTTGGACATCCTGGCCAAACTGAGATATGTGAAATAGGGAAGTGTACAGTCTGTCAAGAAGTTCCCTCCCCTGGCTGGCACCCAGGCTACTTCATGAGGGGTCCTGAGCCCTCACACGGCATTCTCCCTGGGCCTTAAATGAGCTTGAGTGGTGGCTAGCACTTGGGAATATAAAGTTCCTTTAAATTAAAAATAAATAAATAAAACAGATGCCTGGGTGGCTCAGCGGTTGAGCATCCGCCTTTGGCTCAGGGCATGATCCTGGAGTCCTGGGATCGAGTCCCACATCAGGCTCCTTGCACGGAGCCTGCTTCTCCCTCTGCCTATGTTTCTGCCTCTCTCTGAGTCTCTCACGAATAAATAAATAAATCTTCAAAACAAAACAAAACACAAAGTCAAAAAACTAATGAAAATTTTGTTGTTAATGGATTGAAGGAGAAATGTGATACAATGATGAGAAAAAATATACAGAGAAGCATTTCTTATTTCTTAGAATTCAACATCCACAGAATGATTTAAAACCTTTTAGCAAACGAGGACTAGGAAAGATAGTATTTATATCCATAAAAGGGGATCTATAAAAACCTGCAGCAAATTCACATCCTTAAAATCAAGAGTAAGACAAAGGCACTGCTTTTATCCAATGTTACACAGAAGGCTCTGGCCAGTAAGACAAGAAATAAAAGGAGTAAGGATTAAAACCCAAAAACCAAAATCATTATTTGTTGATGACTGTGATATCGTCAGTTCTAGCTAGGACAGGAAGTAAAGAAAAACAAACAAATAAATAAAAGGAATGAAGGATTAAAAAGGAAATACTATTTGCAAAAGACTGTTTACATTAGAATTCCCAGATAAACTAGGAGAATATTAAGAGTTAACAAGGCTGGGATCCCTGGGTGGCGCAGCAGTTTGGCGCCTGCCTTTGGCCCAGGGCGCGATCCTGGAGACCCGGGATCGAATCCCATATCGGGCTCCCGGTGCATGGAGCCTGCTTCTCCCTCTGCCTATGTCTCTGCCTCTCTCTCTCTCTCTCTCTCTCTGTGACTATCATAAATAAATAAATTAAAAAAAAAAGAGTTAACAAGGCTGTTGGATACAAACATTAACTGCAACAAGGAAAAACAAAAAAACTGATTGTAACAGCAGTGACCAGAAAATGAAATAAATTACTTAATACAGCATTGTGGCAGCCAACCTCCAATAAGGTGATTTTTAAAAACAGGGTTTATTTAATTATTTGAGAGAGAAAGAGAGAGGGAGAGAGTACACACATGTGTGCAGGCCCACATGGCCAAACAGCTCAATCCCAGGAACCTGAGATCATGACCTGAGCCGAAATCAAGAGTTGGCTGCTCAACTGAGACACCCAGCTGTGATTTTTATTTTAACTGATGTATAGTTGATTTACAATATTTTATTAGTTTCAGGTGTATAACAGTTATTTGATAATTATATACATCACAAAATGCTCATCACAGTAAGTGCAGTTACTGTTTGTCACCACGCGAAGCTATTACAATATTACTGACGGTATCCCCCAAGTGTACTCTTCATGTCCCTGACTTATTTATTTTATAACTGGAAGTATTTCTTAATCTCCTTCACCTATTCTCGCCCATCCCTATCCTTCCCTCCCCTCTTCCAACCACTAGTTTATTCTCTGTATTTCTTTTTTTTTTTTTAATATTTTATTTATTCATGAGAGACACAGAGAGAGAGAGAGAGGCAGAGACACAGGCAGAGAAAGAAGCAGGCTCCATGCAGGGAGCCCGATGTGGGACTCGATCCCGGGTCTCCAGGATCAGGCCCTGGGCTGCAGGCAGATGCTCAACCGCTGAGCCACCCAGGCGTCCCTTTCTTTGTATTTCTGAGTCTGTTTGATCATTTTGGGGAACGGGGCCATGAACGTTTTTTTTTTTTTTTTAATTTTTATTTATTTATGATAGGCACACAGTGAGAGAGAGAGAGGCAGAGACACAGGCAGAGGGAGAAGCAGGCTCCATGCACCGGGAGCCCGACGTGGGATTCGATCCCGGGTCTCCAGGATCGCGCCCTGGGCCAAAGGCAGGCGCCAAACCGCTGCGCCACCCAGGGATCCCGCCATGAACGTTTTTGTTCAAAAGTCTAGAGTCTTACAGAGTCAACGTTTCCACTGCCTGCATCACCCAGAATCAGCAAAGGGAAAACATCAAAAATAAACTAAGTATCTTGCCCAGATAGTCATGCTTTCTTTTGAAATACTGACAGGTGAGCCCATGAAACTTTTGCTACAGCCCAGTGGCCACTGATGTGCAACTATGAGAGAACATCTGGCTTTATTATTACATTATGATTATCATCACATTATTGCATTAATGAAGCATATCAAGGCATTTCATTCACCAAAACATGAAGCCCTAGGGCAACCCTCTCAGATTCCCCTCTCTCTTTGGGAGCTTTGCACTATTACTTTGCTATTGCTCAATAAACTTTGCTTTGCTGCAAAACGAAAAATAAAAACAAAACAAGAAGACTTAGCAATCAACCATGCCTATCTGGACCTGGAGAAGGGTCCACATAAAGGTTTGTTAAAGAAACACATCACTTAAGGAGCCCTAATGGATTCTATCTACCACCAACACTGTGGTGAAATGTCAAGGCCTCAAGCGTCACTCTAAGAAGACATCCGTGTTAGTGAGCTAACTTGACACCTGCTCTGTAACTGGTCCTAGCATTCTTCCCTCTGGAGGAACAACAGCATTTTCTTTTGTGAATGTTTTCAGCTGAATGAGTAATGTTAAGGTATTATAGCTATTAAGCTAGAAGGGGGATACTGGGACCCTCTCCTCTGCTAAACAAGGGCTCCCTCCAGAGAAGCACGACCTTTCTCAAGACCTATTAAACAGCAGAACAGAGTGACCACACTAGTAATTTCTCTGTCTACAAGACCTACTCAATAGTAACCGCTCATGTGATCTGTGAAGCACAGAATTCTCCTGGTGGCTGCTGGCCACCACTTTCCCAGGGAGCCTTGGTTCCTTTTAGCAGCAAGAATTGCTCTCTCTCTTTTTAAGACTTTATTTACATCACAGGGAGAGCAAGAGAGCACAAGCAGGGGGAGCTGCAGGAGTAGAGGGAGAAGTAGGCTCCCTGCTGAGCAGGGATCCTGATGTGGGGCTCTATCCCAGGACCCTGGGATCATGATCTGAGCCAAAAGGCAGACACCCAACCGACTGAGCTGTCCAGGTGCCCTGGATTACACTCTTGGATGTTAGGTTCTTCCTGGTGAGTTGGTTAACAACGCTGGTTGGTGGATCAAAGAGCCAGGAAAGCTATACACATGTGTAATTTTTCTTTCTTTTTTCTTTCTTTTTTAAAAGATTTTATTTGAGAGAGAGGGAGAGGGAGAGATGGGGAGGGAGAGGAGGGGGAGGCAGGGGGAAAAGGAGAGAATCCCAAGCAGACTGTACACTGAGTGCAAAGCCCAACTTAGGGCTGGATCTCACGACCTCAATATCATGACCAGAGCTGAAATCAAGAGTGGACACTTGGGGATCCCTGGGTGGCTCAGCGGTTTGGCACCTGCCTTTGGTCCAGGGTACGATCCTGGAGTCCTGGGATTGAGTCCCACGTCGGGCTCCCTGCATGGAGCCTGCTTCTCCCTCTGCCTGTGTCTCTGTCTCTGTCTCTCTCTCTGTCTATCATGAATAAATAAATAAAATCTTAAAAAAAAAAAAAGAGTGGACACTTAACTGACTGAGCCACCCAGGTGCCTCAATAAGTATAATTTCTTAAAGATTACATATTTACATTGGTATTCTTAATCTCACCGTATCTTTAACAAACTTAGACACACTTAGGTTTTTTGTTTGTTTTTGTTTTTTAATCCCTCACTCTTCTTTTACAATCCAATGAAGTATGTCATGATCTCTCCAGGATGCTCTGGGATGGGAAAAGGATTTGCCACTTAAGGGAAAAAAGTAAAAACGAAGCTTCTTGAAAAGGAGGGTCCTTTACTTGGTGTTTGTTATTAATGCATTGTGTATAAAAGAACACAAAGACTTAAGTATTTTCTTCTCGTATTGCATTAGAATATAAATGTTTCTAACATCCCACTCTGCATTCATATTCCCCATAATTCTAAAGGTGGTTCCAGGATGCCAGCACTTGGGAATGAAAAGTGAGAAAAACCTGTTTTCTCTCCAGCAGAAGAAACTCTGACTCTTTCACACATACTATGAAGCTTCACTGGACAAGTGAAGGGAAAATCAATCTGAACAAGGTGCTTGTGGCAAGTACCCAGCACCACATTTGCCAGCACTTCTCATC